TCTCTCTCTCTCTATATATATATATATATAAATTTTTTTTCATTTTTTTTAAAATGGCGGTACTAGGGTCCCCAGGACCTCATGCATGCTAATCATGCACCTTACCACTGAGTTACATACCTCCACCCTATATTTTCTTCTATAAGTTTTAAAGTTTCAGATTTTTACATTTAGGTTTGTGATCTGCTTGGAGGTGTTGGATTTTTTTTTTGCATATTGTGTGAGGTAAGTGTCAAGATTCTTGTCTTTTGCACCTTTGTTGAAAATCAATTGACCATATGTGTGGATCTATTCTTGGGCTATTTTTCCTTTGATCTGTATGTCTTTTTTTCCCTTTTCTTTAAATTGAAGTATAGTCAGTTTACAATGTTGTGTCAATTTCTGATATACCCCATAATGGTTCAGTCATACATATTCATACATATATTCCTTTTCATCTTCTTTTTCATTGTAGGCTACTACAAGATATTGAATAAAGTTCCTTGTGCTATACAGTAGAAATTTATTGTTTATATATTTGATATATAATAGCTCTATGTCTTTCTTTATGCTAGTACCACACTGTCTTGATTACTATAGCCTTATAATAATTCTTGAGATCAGGCAGTGTAATTCCTCTGACTTTTTTTTCCTTAAAATTGTTTCGACTATTCTAAATCCTTTGCATTTCCATAAAAATTTTAGAATCAGTTTGTTAATGTCTCCAAAATAGCTTGTTGGGATTTTTACTAGGATTGAATTAAACCTATAGAGCAAATTGTGTGTGTCGGGGGGAACTGATAGCCTAACAATGTTGTGTTATATCTCTCCAAGTATTTATGTCTTCTTTAATTTCTCTCAGCAATGTTTTATAGGTTTCATTTTTTTGTCCAATTTATCCCTATTTTGTATTTTTATGCTATATTAAGTGATAAACTTAAAAAACACTTTTTGGTTTGAAATAATTTTAGACTTACAGCAGAGTTGTAAAGACAGTACAAAGAGTCCCTGTATATCCTTCACCCAGCTTCCTCTAATGTCCTTTTTTTGTTCCAGGATCTAAGCCAGGACCCAAGCCAGGATTCCACACTGCATTCAGTTGTCATGTCTCCTTAATCTCCTCCCATCTGTGACAGTTCCTCAGGAGTCTTTCCTTGTGTTTCACGACCTTGACATTTTTGTAAGAGTACTGGTCAGGCATTTTGTAGACCATCCCTCAATTTGGCTCTTTCTGATATTTTCTCATTATTAATCTGAAGGTATGAATTTGGGGGAAGAACACTACATAGAGGATGTGCTCTTCTTAGTGAATCATATTAGGGGGAACATGATATTGATATGCCTTATTAATGGTGGTGTCAACTCGGACCACTTAGTTAAGGTTGTGTTTCCCATGTTTCTCAACTGTAAAGATATTATTTTGCATTTTCATAGTCTGTCTGTTGGAATTGAGTCACTAAGTCTGGTTCACAATCAAGGAGAGGAAATTAAGCTCCACTTCCAGCACCACGGGGTTTACTCTAGGCTTTCCCCATTACTTATTTGTAATTTCTTTCTCTAACAAAAATATGGCTTTCATATATTTATAGTATATTTACCTATTTGTTCAAACTTAGAGTACACGTAAAATGGCCTCAGAATTGCCAACCCATGCCTTGAGAGAAACAAATTTGCCAACTAATATATAGTATTTGTTTATAGTTCCTTTTGTCTCTCTTGCTTTAAAGAACCTAGTAAAAACACCATTGTACAAAGTTATTTAGATCAGGTCTTTTCTACCCTCTTCAGTGTCATTCTAGTATGCATTTGTAATATAAATTTATCCCTAAGTATTTTATGTTTTTTTTAAATGATATGTAAAAATTTTAAATTTCTGACTGCTTTTGCTAGTTTGTAAAAATACATATATATATTTGTATATTGATGTTGTATTTTGAAACCTTGCTATACTCACTGATTTTTTATAGTAGCTTCTTAAAAATATTATTTAGGATTTTCCATATAGATGATAATGTTGACTGTGGATAAGGTAGTGATACTTCTTCCTTTCCAATCTATGTGCCTTTTATTTCATTTTCTTGCTTTATTGCATTGGTTAGCACTTCTAGTATAACGCTGAATAGAAGTGAGATTGGACATTCTGGATATGTTTTGAAGATAGAGCTAAGATAACTTCCTAAAGGACTGGAGTTTAGTGATTATTATGAACACTGACTTTCTTCTGCCAGAGAAATAGTTGGTGCCCACATAAGGGATCTGAAGCCCCAGCAGGGTTGGTGGGGATGGTTTGTGGGGGAGCAGGAATGGTCAGAGTGTTGTAGGGAGGCACCTGCTTAGCAGAGGTGAGAGGTGGGTGAACAGGAGACTTTCCCATGCATCTTCCTTCTTCCAGTTTGGGCTTAAATGTGAAGGGACTAAGAGGATTCCATTTGTTTTGTTTTGTTTTATTTTGTTTTGTTTTGTTTTGTTTTAGGAGCGAAGACAGGCTAAATTTCGTTTTGGGATCAGCTCCCAAATTTAGCACTCCTCTGTCCCATAATCCTGGATTCCTAATTTTGGGTGTCCATCCCAAAGCAGTTGAGCAGGCAGGAATGATTCCTGGGTTTGGAGTATGGAGACTTGGGTTGGAATCCTGGCTCTGTAAAGGCCAGCTGTGTGATCCAAGGGGAATCCCAGCCTCAGTTTCCTATCTGTGGGGATTAAGATATGAAGCTCAGGGTGGTTGTGAGTACCACAATCACCACAACCACAACAGTAGTAATAATACCTAATGGCCATACCTAAGTTTCTAAGCACCTCATCTTCCCAGGTACCCTGTGAGATAGGTATTATATTATCCCCACATTAATAATGAAGAAGCTGTGGTAAAGTGGTGAAGGAAGGCGTCTGATTCCTGACCTCTGCTGGGAACTCTGTCATGCGTGTGCTGCGCCCTCAGTTCAAGCATCACCTCCTCCTGGAACTCTCCCCTGACTGTCCTCTCTACTACCTGCCCTGCACCAGCAGTGTCAGGCCCACTTCCCTGAGCTCCCACACACCCATCACTTGTGTTTCCCCAAATCAGGGACTATGTCTGGCTTATCCTCATAGCCCAGCATCTAGTGAGGGACCAGCAGCCACTAGGTCATCAGTGAATGAATCCTTTGCCCTGAACATAAGGCTCGGGCAGCAGCCTTGGTCGCCATCTTGTAGACCCAACTGTGGCTCACGCCACACCCTTGGGGGGTCACTAAGAAGGCCTCTGACCATAAGGCTGTGACTCCAGATGAAGCCCCTGGCCTGAAGGCATCTTGGAGCCCACTCCTCCGCCCTCTGCCCCACAGCCAGCCAGCCCCAGGATGCTCCAGGAAGTGCTGTGCATGACACCCACCCCCACCCGCCACCTCCCAGAGAAGGGACCATTGTGTCCGAAGGGTTAACGAGGGATGCGAGGAAGGGGCCCTTTAGCCATGATGCCCTCTGACCTTTCATAAATCAGAGGGGCTGAGGGACGAGGGGGCTGCTTGGCAGGACTTGGTGGGGTGGGGGCTTAGAAGCAGCTGCGCGCGACGTTGACATTGTTCCCACCATTCTAAGTGCAACAAATCCCTCTATTGTGTTCCTGGTTTATCTGGTTCCTCTTGTTTATTAGCAGGGCTCCTTTGGCAGCGGTTCCAGCCCTGGGCGGGTGGAAAGAGTGCTGGCACGCACCGTGGGGGGAGGGGGCGGGGAGGGGGGCCGGTCGTCAATGCCCGCATTGTCCCCGCGCTTTTTGTTTCTACTGTAATGACATGTTGGAAGAGAGAGAGGAAGAAAAAAAAAAAAAGAACGACGAGTTGGGGAGGGAAGGAGAAGGAAGAAAGAAGAGGAGAAGG